CAAGTCCGTGTTAAAATTCCTATGAAGTTGTGCAGGAAAAATTCTTCCTTTCTTTCTCTAGCTCCTCGATAAACCTGGTGTTCAGATTTTATCTAGTACCCCCAGGTCTACGGGAGCTGCGCTTTGTAACTAACGCACAGGTAGATTTTTACCTGAGATAACTGGAGTAAAGCTTAGATAGAGAGTGCGTTCGATACAAGCAAGACAAATTGAATGCCATTTAACCCTCTAATTAAGAGGTAAAGGAAGTTCCAGGTAGATGGATGATTAAGATAGGACTTGTAAAGGTAACGGGCATTGTTTACCTCAGTTTAATAAAAGTATGCAAGACGGAGTGTCAGCGGTTTAATAAAATAAATTGAATTTCACAAATAACATGGACCTCATATGCAATAATCAACATTTCCCTTAACTCATTCAAATGCAGTGTTTTATACAACTTGGGATAACCATAATGAAATGCTTGTTAAAGAAATGACTAGACGGGAAATGGTTTTACACAGCTTCACGAGGATTTAGACCCTTCGGGTAAGAGATTTGAATGAGTATAAACTTTTATCAGAAGCCAGAGAAGTCATCTTACAGGTAGACAATGCATCTCAGTTTGACAGCTAAGCACGCTCTGTTCTCCAGTGGCTCAATTGTCGTCATTGGACCACGTGACCATGTAGCTCATTAACTCCCAGGCCAAGCAAATAGGACGTTTTTTAAAGCCAAAAATTTACAAAATGAGCTTTTAATTTGTGTATTTGGATAAAGATATCGTTAGTTGGGCATGTTTTCTGAAGAATATGTTCCGTTCAGGCCATTCTGACGGCATGAAGCAAACCCTTTAACTCTTATCAGCCTGAAGCCTTAGGGACCATTTCCATACCCTATCACGCTAACTGTAGATCGATCTATCTCCAAGGGAATTCTCGCTAAATGCAATCAATGTAAGTGGCTTAGCTGTTTGTCACGCCTACTGAAACTGGCATGCCAGAATCCTAAGCCACTTAAGCTGAAAGCAATTTAGTGAGAAACCCCTTGGAGTTGGATTGATCCTGTCAGATTGATCTAGGTATGGGAACTCAGTCTAATGCTTGTTACACATTTTACTTTGATCCTAATCCACTGTTATGCAGAATTAGAATTTGATGTTGGCTATGTAGTTACAGTAAGCATAATACATAAGTGCATCAGAACTGACGGTGTCCTATTTTCTGCATTTTTATTTTCTGTTTTTTTTTTGTCTGTACATTTGACAGCTTTGCTGCCTTGTTTTAAAAAAATAAGCATCTACATTCATCTCTTTGATTTGTAATTTGTCCTTCCAATGGTCAGTTTTTGCTGAGCACTGTCAATTTGGATATATATATATATATATGTGCAACTTGTTGTTCGTGAACACGTTGCCTTCTCCTGACACATATATGTACACTCATTTATTAAAACCTTTTCAGGGCTTTGATTATTTTCTTTCTTATATTCATAAGATGAATCCTGCCCAATACCTCTAAAAAACATGGAGCTGCCATCAGATGGAAATCTGTACCATCTCAATGTTGTTGAAATGGCCTCTGCGTTTGCCATTATGGGGTTATCAGAAGGAGAAATAGCAAAATGTGTAGCACGCAAAATTAATGGTAAGAAGTTCTCCAAAATGACCAAGGAGGAGTTGTCGGAGATGGTGTCAGTAGATACAGCACAAAAATGCAAGCCACTAATAATGCATTTTCACAAGTGCACGAAGAAAACTTTGATGAACGCTGTGAAAATAAAGTTCCATAGTGTTATGAGCAAGTTTCTTTAAATAAAGTTACATATGAAGAAAGCATGTAACACTTTTTAATTGCAACTGTACATTCTTCAAATTTCTTGGAGTAAATTTGACCTATTTATTTGTCCCTTAATTTCGTAAAATTCCACTAAGTGACTTGGTAAGAAGCCAGGAGTGGGGGGAGGGGTTGAAAGAACTGCCCTCTATGCTGGAAAAAGGTTGGCTCTGGTTTGGCCTATGTACAAAAAGGTTTCATGGTAAAAGGGTCACTTTTTAAAGAACAAAAAAAACTTTGAAATTGCTGGTTACGGGCCTGTAGTAATGTACAACGCATTACTGTTGCATGCACTAGCATACCAGGAATTATTCAAATACGAGTTGGCTAAAACAACTAATAGGCTATTCACACTAGCACTTTCGACCGCGGTCAACGCCTGACCTCGGTCCTGTCGCGGTTAACTTTTCTAATGTGAACGGACAACATAATACTGACCGCGGTCGAAATAAACCCAGATCTGGAGCTGGGTTAAATCCGAGAACAGATGTTTACCTATGGAATGCATGCGCATGAGTGGGCAATTAATCAACTGATCTTGTTCGCAAGAAAATCCTGGCAGCAATTTGAGTACTATGAGTATGAGAAGCAGCAAGAGTACCATGGTCTGAGGATGCCGTCTAGGGCCTCCTTGCCATATGGCTAGAGAGTGAGGTACAACGAAAATTAGCAGGAAGCGCCAAGAATAAAACGGTCTGCCACGAAATAGGCTTTAGGTTATCTGTATCACCGTGCCTACATGTAGAATTAGTATCTTTTGTCACCGTTATGCGGTCAACTCATATATATGAAATAGAATAATTTAAATGTAAAGGGTCAGGTTTTTACTTATCCGAACAATAGAGCGCATGCTTAACAGGACGTACGATTGCTGAAATTCTATCGCTACTGATTGCTGCCAGTATAGGTGTGAACGCAAATAATCTCGGTTTAGTTGACCCCGATTCGATCAAAGTTAACTTGACCGCTGTTAACTTTCTAATGTGAATGGCCTAAAAGGGTTTTAAATAGCACAGAGAAAAGCCAGAAAAAATTCATTACAAATGTCAATTTTTGGGAAATGAAAAACAATACCCTTGCTATTACTGTTAGTTATGCTATTTGAAACTATCTATTGGCATTTGGTCAGGTTAGGTGACAAGATATGAAACAGGCTTGAAACGCATCTAAGTGGTTGTTCACAGAAAATTAAAAGTAAGCTAGATATGCTTTTTGCATGTGTCTGCCACCTTTTTGAATTGAAATACCTTTTTAGATTTTTATAATCTGTTTTCACTGTTAAACTGGGCACGGTTTTCCTCTTGAAATGTTTTGTTAACATTAAGCTTGCCATATTGAAGATTAAAGAATTTTAGACAATTTCTTATTCATAAGTCGGGTTTTATATGGAAGTATTATGACTAAAGGAACAAAATGACTTGGAAATATAGTCTGTAGCATTCCCTTTGCGAATATCATATTTACCGATACATTCCTTTGAGAGTTTACATCAGAATACAAATAGTAATAAATAGTGGTTTTAATTAAATAACTAATATAATCATTTAATTAGAGAACTAAGGAATTGTAGATTTGGTAGTGGCATGAGATGTACTGGTAAATTCATATCAGTTTGGCAATGTTACAGTATTAGTATAAACATTTATTTCATGATTGTGGTCTTTTATATTATGTACAAAAGTTTTGTTTATAATTATGCTTCAGAAACTATTTTTTTAATAATTTTATATTTGAACTGCAGGTTTTTCTACCTTCTTGTATTTGTAATCGTTTTGCTTTTATTTTTTTGAATGTGGTTAAGGCTGAAGATTTACATCATTTTCAAGCTCTGAATTTAAAGATTGGCTTTATATAACTCAACTGTGATAACTTGTTTAATAAGTTTTAAGGTATGCCGAGTTATTAGAAAATCTATGACAAATGACATTTCATAATTGTAAATGAAAATGCACATATCCATTATATCTTTGAAGTTTGATCAAGACATATCACAGGATTCGAGCAGTTGCAAATATGGACAAATCAAATCACTTATGATCCCGTTCCTAGATTGATCTAGCAGGATCTAAAGTGCATTCAGCTTACATGACTCTGATGTCTGGCACATCTAATAAAGCTGTTAGGGGGTAATTAGCTATCATTAAGGAGCTTGAGTAGGTGTGCCATACAGCTAAGCCGATGAAGCTGAATGCAACTTAGGGAGAATCCCCTCTAAGGTGGGTCGTTCCTGCTAGATCAATCTAGGTATGGGAATGGGGTCTTAGAAACATTTGGTTAAGGGTAATTTATGTCCTAATAGTACAATATATCTGCTTTGTCATTGTAGAATTAACATTCCTATTTTAACTTAAATGCAATCAAAACCCAACTTTTGAATAAATTTATATTTCATTGTTATGACCTTGTTGAACTTTTTACCTGGCCTTGGTTCACAGAATCTCAAATTTGTTGTATTGACTTTACAATAGTGATATTTTATGTCAGTGGAAGTTCTTAAAAAGTCATGCAGATTATTATGAAATACATTTCACTTGAATGAGAATTTGAAATATTTTAATGCAGTAAATGTAAACCTTATTAACAACAAAACATTAAAAGCTTTTAAATTTCAAGACCTTTTTTTACTTAAAAATGTTTATTTTGACCAACATTACCGTGGACAAATACACCCTTGAAGAATCTGTTGATTAATGATTATAAATATGACAAAAATGTGTTTTGTAAGGTAATCTTTTTGCAGCCCTGAACTTGAAAACCAAGTAAGTCTGTTTTGACACAAAAAAAACTTACTTTCACTGAGAGAGTACTGAAAAGTGGTGTCTCAGAGGAACACATCCCAAGGAAGGTCACAGCAGTGATCTAAAGCTGTGTTATGTTCAGCTCAAGAAATTGAAAATATTACTTGACAAAGATGTGTTAGAGAAGACAGATAAGTGACCATGTATCATATATATACACTGATATAGAATGTTACATTTTGAGATGGGACAAAAACACTAAAATAAGTTGGCAGTTGTAACAATTTTTACTAGTCTCGTCCACAATCACTGTTGACAGTGACACCTAGGGCAGCCTCAGGTGATCTCATTGAATGTAAGAGACATGCAAGTATCTGCAAATGTATATTCAAGTAGAGTAAATTATTATTATTTTTTTAAATCCAATATGAGCCCCTTTCAGACTGGGCCAATTATTTGTTAAAAAGACTGTGTATACATGTATGGACTTCATTCAGTCTGGCATCATGACATTGTCAAGGTTACATTTTTCAACTTTGCCTACATTCACCAAATAAAAATCTGTATATATGAAGATAATAAAGTCAATTGAAAGTGATCACTCATATGTAATACTCAAAACTTAAATAATTACAACCAACAAGCAGTTTGTTCAACATGTTATTTTTATTACATTTTTTACTTAACACGTGTTAGGTAGACCTCCCAATGCAAAAACATTGTGAATCACTTCGGAACATATCTATGTCACCAAACAAATTCCAATTCTTTCTTGTCAGCTAGTGAGTAGCTTCTGCCATTTGGTTTGATCTGCAACATGTAGTGAATCCAATTTTATGTTTAAATAGTGCTGTGACTTTTCACCTGTTAAGTGAATTTACAAGTATTAAAAACAAAACAAAAAACACTGGCTACATCAAGTCTGTTGGGTAAATTTGTAACTTCTAGGCCATCTTCTTTTCTGTAATGAGTAAAAATTATACATAAAACATATTCTGAAAACCTGTGAAAAATATTGGTCAATATAGATGACTTTTATTTTACTTCTATTTATATAATAATAATATTATTATTATTATTTTTTTTTAATATTTATCTCTTTATAAAGCTCTAACCCCTACTAAACTATGCAATAAGAATATTTTCATATTATCCAAATCAATACACATTAGGACCAATTTATCTTTGACTTATGCATCATGTTTGTTTAAACAGTTTTCTTAATAGAAAATCATGCCTTTTACAAACATGAAATGAATGTGGAAACTTTATGAAAAAAATTTAGTTTCACCCCAACACAAAAATTTCAATTACATCAATCTTCATCTTCATCTTCGTCCTCATCCTCATCTTCCTCGTTTCCAAAATATTCACGTTTTTCTACTATCGCTGGATTAACTGTTCCATCAGGCAGAATAGTCTTGTAGCCTCCCATTGTAGCAATTCGAGCCTCTAGTACTGTTTGAGGGATGCCCCTAATATTACACAAAACAAGATGTCATATATCAGCTCACTATAATATTTCCCCAATTCAATGCTCAATATTGGAATTATCCATTCTTGCTTCTGAAAAATCATTCTTGAGATTCTCATACATGTTCCATAAACAGAAGCCTAGCAGTACATCTTTCTATCAGTCAAACACTTCATTACATATTCATAGTCATGACTACTTTGAAGACAGCCTCATGAAGCCACTGTGTGACATAATACACTGTTACCAGATCAATATATGCCAGAACACCTCTGAGTGTCAGCAAGGTGTTCAAGGCAGATATCTAGAAAAGGTGGCAGTGTATCATTTGAGAAAAATACTGACAGAAAGTACTCGCATTTTAACGAAAAACACTCCCAAAACTGAATCAAGAGTATACTGGTACTGCCACAGTCAAATAACGTCTCATTATGTATCATACATTACATATAGAACATTTACACAAATTAAAAAATTCCATGGAATATATTAGACTGTACATGAACTAACACTTTTATTAATATAAAATAATTCATGATTTACCTGAATTGGCTCACTTCATCATAGAAAGGTTTTACACCCCAATGGTAATACCAGTAAGAGGTGACTGGGGAGAGAACAAATACTGAAAAAGCCATCCCTCTCTTGAAAAAGTCTGAGGTTGTTGCGAAAAATCTTCTCGACATTTCGTTTTTAGTCTGAAATGACAATGAGAATGTGTGTTTACATCGTGAAATTTCTGAAAGAGAACTTCATTATTTTCACTAATGCTCATTATCAAAAATGCTTAAAGCAATTAAACATCCATAAGACTGAAAACATCAGGAGAAGTCTCCGACTGTAATCACATCCATGCTGCACTGCAGGGTGGACCACTGCTGCTCATGATCAGTGGTCACAGCTTTCTGGCTAAAATGTTAGAACACATTTGACCTAATCTGACTATTTAAACACTGTGATATTTCCTTTAATTTTAGAGATAATTTCAAGATTCCAACAGTATAAGATTCTAGATAAAAAATACCTTTCAGGAGGTATAACTTGTGTGTACATTTGGATATATATATATATATATATATATATATATATAACACTACTGCATAACTGGGATTAAAAGAGTAAAACTTTATCAAACATACTCTTGACCTGATCCCAAATTACTTGAAATGTGAATGATGATATAGTTCAAAGTGCAACGGGGGACAGACAGTTACCCCAGGATGTGGATATTCACAGCGGAGGGACTTTGAACACAAAACGCTGAGGCCTTACCTACGTGAGCATGTTAAGCCGAAAACTGAAACAAGGGCGACGTGTGGACCACACTACATACATCTATTGAGACTATCATATATGGATGACGTACTTTTTATAGCATTATATGCCATGTTATTTCAACAGTTAAAGAGTGCGCAAAACGTNGTGTTGCATATATGCTGAAAAGTGAAAAAACAGCATTCCTACTAAAATAGTGGCCCGATCATGCCGATTTTTGAACTTGATAAGCGTTTTAGTAAGATTGATTACTCCTGTGAGTTTCATGACAACAGGCCTATCAGTTTTCCTTGAAATGTGTTAACAGTGTTGCATATATGCTAAAAAGTGAAAAAACAGCATAAATTCTACAATAATGGCCAGATCATGCTGATTTTCGAACTTGACCTGCGTTTTATGAATATTAGTCAGCTCTGTAAATATAAAGCCAAAAAGTAAAATTGTCTTCCACTTATGGTGTTAACGCTGAAAGTGCACGGCGACGGCGACGGCGACATGATCGGCGACGACAGACGCAGGTGATGGCAATATGTACAGACACATCTGTGTCTGTACATAAAAAAAACTTTCTTGTGGTCAATATAGTAGCGTACCTAGCTTTTTACGAGTGTTTAGCGAGCACTATTTAGAAAAAGTAAGATGTAAGACAGCAATTACCATCACCATCAGTGATTTCACTTAAAAATACTACATGATAATCACTTAAGGTTATATTTAATCCATCCAAAAATGATGAATTCAAAACTAAAGGACACGCTTACGTTTGTCCTTGACTCCAACCTCTGAAAATGGCGACAGTGTTTTGGTATCCCAGACTGCACTCGGAGGCACGTTTACCCAAGACAAGCACAATCCGATGTCTTACGAATGTGATAATGTTAGGAGGAAAAAGTCGTGCCTCGACATAAGAAACTGTAGTATCCACGACTAACGTTAACGTTACTTGAGTCGGTCCAACTCTCAGGTCTGTGAGGGCTCTGGCTAAGTGCAATCGGCTTAACTGTTAGAGGCAGGACTCTTCGAGCAGTTAATATAATTATACTATTATACTATTATTTAATTATATAATTATATGGAGGGTGGATCTGTTCCACGGATCCTCAGTTTCGTCACGCCGGTCTCTCCAACCTCCTTGCACACCGGTACAAGTAGGACAACATTTGACACAGACTGTGATGGGCGTCTTAAAGCATATAAAAGTTATAAACTGATTTTACTATTTGAAATTTGGCAGAATGATGGTCGAAAAGTTCTGGGTAATTATTGTTACAATTATAATTACCACATTAGCCCTATAGCAATTATCATCATTACTACTATTATTATTTTTACACAACCTGGGCAACATACATGGCCTACATGTATTTAGGCCTACTGTCTTACAGAGGTCTTCTTTAACTGTTATAAATTTGGTTGACAGACCTCTTTATTAAGTCGTCTAAACGCTCTTGCAAAGCAGCAGAGGAGATTACTGCTGGGTTTCGTCCAATTTTGCAACAGATAGCCTTGGTTCCCATACCTAAATCAATTTAACAGGATCGAGCCGTCTCCGAGGGGTTTCTCGCTAAATTGCTTTCAGCTTAAGCGGCTTAGATGTCTGGCACGCCTACTATACTGAAGCTGCTAAACGATAATTAAGTACCCCCTAGCAGCTTCAGTAGGCGTGACAGGCATCTAATTAAGCCGCTTAAGTTGATTGCAATTTAGTGAGAAACCCCTCGGAGATAGACCGATCCACATTTAGTACGATAGGGTCAGGGAATTGTTCCACAGAGAACCCCCTGGTCAGGCTGGTGGAGGATAACGTAATCCAAAATCAACTTTAAAGCACGGGCAGACATGCTCGTCTTTCGGTGCCAGTAGGCATACTGGACTGGGTACTACTCTGTTTGTCAAATGTATTTTGAGTTTTCTCCACTTTACCATTAGCATACTAATCAAGCGTAGACTGTGTACTAGTGTATTCCACCACCTTTAATTAATAAGCCACACGGTGGGATTCACTCATTTGATATTGGCCCTGAAGTGACTCGGATCCTCGCAGATTGGTCGTAATCTTTAAACAGTGCAAAAGTATTGACCCAGATATAGAAAGAAATATTAGATATGTCAGTCCACTAATGACCGTAAAATAGGTCTTTATTGTCTATCATTTTCTATCTTTCTCTCTCTCTCTCTCTCTCTCTCTCTCTCTCTCTCTCTCTCTCTCTCTCTCTCTCTCTCTGCGTGTATTTTTTTCTTTTTTTTCTTTCAAGTCTTTAAGGATATTATTTTAGTATAAGTCTATTTCGATACCTTGAAAATTCAAACTTGACGTTGATTTTGATCTTTAAAGGTGAAGATGACAAATTGATAGCTTTGTAGTGTAAAGTAGTAGCCTACGTGTAGCTTTTGACCCTTTTGCCATGTTCTGCAACTTCGATGTAAACATGTTGTGTTACGTTATTGTGTAAGTTATGTTTGGATATCAGTTCAGATTTTAAATTTTAATGCGCTTTTAAGTGAATGTCATAACTGCTGTATCTAAGCATATATATTAAGCCAAGAGTTATAAGAAAAAAAATCCAGAAGAGTATGAAGTTATAAATCTAATCGAAATTCATTTTATAAAAAAAAAGACGTTTGTCTTAATGGATCCGGAAGACCGGACTTCGTATAGGGGCCCGCAAACTCTAGATTTAGTTTGGTTTTGTATAATTAGTGTAGGTCTTACTTTAAGGTCTAGGTATAAAGGCCCACAACTTTTAGAGGCATATTTTTCGTAATTCAAGTACAATATTATAACTATCTTGAACTGCCAGACATCGTTTGTAATCTCTTGTTTTACTTTCGGGTCGGAATGAAAATAGGAGACGAAGAATTCAGATCCGTGTTCCGCCCGAGTTCTGTATTTCTTTAATTGACGGGACTTTGACAGTGTCTCCTTGTTCCATGGCTCAGTGTCTTCATAACCCGCCTTCTTTAAAAGTCTTATGAGACCAATTGCGAAATTTTGGCGCGAAAAATAAAATATAATGAACAGACTTGTCGAAAACAAACGAATTTTCATGATGTTCAACCAGAAAAATAGGGCTTGTAACGTAAATCTTCATATTTGGTGCCCATTTGCACACACCTCCTCAAAAAGGAGCACATTTTAGTAAATACTAAATTAGACTGGGTTCCCATGCCTAGATCGATCCATCTGGATCGGTCTAAGTTAACTCCCTGGGGAGTCTCACTAAATTGCGATCAACTTAACCGGCTAAAATATTTGTCACGCCTACCGAATCAGCTAGGGTTAAGATAATTACCCCCTAACAGCTTTACTAGGTGTGACAGACATTTCAGCCGGTTAAGTTGATCGCAATTTAGTGAGACTCCCAAGGGAGATAGATCGATCCAAATATCTGTGGGAATGGTCCCTTAAAGCATTTTCACGTGACCTTTACAGACATGAGTTTTTTTTTCAGTGAAAACGCGGAATTTCACGTTTTTTTAATTCAATTCTATGGCGGTCCCCGGACCCCCGGCCGGTTAGGTGTTGGGTCCCATGATAAATGTTCAGAGTTTTTTTTTAACCTAGGCTCATGTCTGCTTTTACCATTACGTTTCTTACCATGATTTATCAACCTTGTGTCATTTATACAAATATGAAAAAAGACACCCGAAGAAAAAAGGTTTTTGGAGGTTCTGTGTGACACAAAAATACTTTGGTTTTCAACTAAACATGAAATTCCCTTCAGGCTACTTGAAACATTCTACTTAGACGAAAGAAATTGGCACAAAAAAGGATTCGGTGATGAAAGACAAAAAATGTGTCCTGAAATGTATCCGGACTTCCACAGCTTCAATCGTGATGATTATTACATTTTGAATGAAAAATTAGGTGTTATCAAAAGTCGCAAAGTATAAGATATCTTCATTTATAAAGACTGGTGATTAGATTCATGATCCCCTAATTACTAATCCAGAGGTTTCTCACATTGGATTCTGTCTACCCGAGAATGTGTGTATAGTGGTCAGAGTGGAGAATAAGGGGACTATATTTTGGAGGGTTGGGAAAATATAGCCCCGGCACCATGCAAAAAGACCAATTTATTACTTTTCTTAAAGAATACAAATGATACTCCCTGACGCATTTTTTAATGCCTCAAAAGTAATTACCAAGAGGGGTTGAGTCAAATCTTTCTGCCAAAGGCAATAACAGCTGTTTGTATATAAAGTTAAATTTCATTTTATTTTATTTTTGTAGATATTAAAATCTAAATTTCGATGCAGTTTTGCGCCATTACTCCACTTTAAATATTTGCTTTTAATTATTCTTCTTTTACAGTTCTTAATTTTCTATTGTGTAACGTGACGACACTGAAGATGAAATAAGTTGGTGAAAGTAGATGAAAAAAGACGTTACACCAGATCGCCGTTTAATACAATTTTTTAAATAATATACCACCTAACTACTTTTTTCTGAAGACAACAAAACGGCTTCACAAATGTGAGAGGTGAGATCGGCATTGTGTTTACCTTTCCGCCGTTAGATGATAAATAAAGGAATAGACGATTTTAGGGTACCTGATAATTAAAGCAAATCCCTGCCCGCGTTTGCAAGAAGAAACACGTGAGAACTTCTCTGCACCTTAATGAGATATTAGTGCCAACTAAAAGCTAGGTAAATGTTTCCCTAATCTAAATTTTCACGTAAGCTCCAACAATTACCCCGACACTGCAGCGGGTTGCTTTGCACGCACTTCCTGTAAGTGAGTGGGTCCTTGGATCGCAGATCGTGGAGAGATGTTAAAAAAATCTCACGCGGACTAATCATTTGCAGAATATAAATATGCACACTACATAGGCCTATACTACACACACACACACACACATACACAATTTATTCTAAAAATTAATCTGTTTAAACGGTGGATGACATAAAACAAGGCGGGTCTACAACATCTTCGATAAATGTCAAAAAGATATCAAATTACCCAGTATTTTTCACAAACGTGTTGACAATTCAGTAAGCCTGCGTCATTTATTAGGTATGCTTTCTTCAAGGACTTCTGAGAAAAAAAGATGCAATTTCTAATCATACTTTTCCGTTTTCCGCGTGTTAACACTATTTCTGATAAATCAACAGGACTCCCCGTGCAGTATTGTTCGCATGGGACTGTTGGAGTGGATGGCTTAAGTATTGGTCAGGTGCTTCCGCTGCACGAGTGTCATTTTCGAGCTCTTGCCAATAATCACCTGGGCAACTTCCACACGAAGCGCCCATTGTCCTCTATCCTCATCAAGACGCTTTTCAAAATTAATTCCTGTTCGGGCCACAGCCGCTACCGTGCCAGTAATAATGTGTGTGTTAGATGTCAAACACAACTCATTAGTTTCCCGAGAAAATCGATAATGCACTGTGCCCTGCCACCGTCCTTCATGAACGAATATTTAACTGCCGCTTAGGACTAGCGGCGTATCAAAATATTAGCAATATGTTCGCAGGGCCCTGGAATTGAATAAATCAACTTGGTCCTATTGATAGCGATTCCCTATCGTTCTTTGCTATTTTGATATGTTTACGAATCATATTTGCGAATCACGATCTCGTAATTTGGGACAGATGACACGAAAAGATACCCATATCGATAAGAGAAAGATTAATCATATATCTCAAAACACGATTTCCGAGCGCTATTAGAAAATACGTTATTTTAACGAGTGTTTGACTCTTCACCCGCAGGTGAATATAATGTGCTCTTGTTGCCTTCATTTGCACGTAATTTGAGTCGTCCAAGTTGAAATATGACTCTGAATACAATATAGACACATCTAAGGTACAGCGCAGATATCTGTTAGCTAAGTAGATTTCCGTGAATCTCGGGGAGTGAATGGAAGCAAGCTGGGCTTGCATGGCCGACCGGGCGAGGTCGATTTCCCATGAAAATGGAAATGAGAATCTCTTTCTAATCTAACCCGCATAGTATAATGTCGCTCCGCACTCTTGTGTTCATATTGAATGGAGGCCTTAGTCAGTCGCAGCAGGGAATCGCACGCGAGTGGCACGCGCAGCCTACCTGAATTACGGTCCTTTTAGACGAAGCTAAGCTCCATGCACCCCTCCATAAAATATTTAATCTTGGGAGTCGATCGATTGGTCAATAGTGTCCAGTTAAGGACCAAGAAAGGAGGGATTCCGAAATGGGACATCTGTCTACGGCAGCTGTGATTGGTCGATCCAGTTATCAACATTTGTCCGACTTTATATAGTTATCACGATTCTAGGTGGGTATTGTTACTCGCTAATTACAACGTCCGCGCGATGGAAGCTTTGTCAACTACACCACAGAAAACGGATTGAGGTAATTTTCGAGAAGACTTATATCCACGTATATTAGTCCGCAGCGATTAGTTTCAAGCACTCTCTGCGACAGACACCTTGATTTTTATCTAGTGGACAATTGTCCAGTGCGAAAACCAAGCGAAAATTAAAAAAAAAGAAACGGAGAGACGCAGCTCATAAACGCTGTAAGTCGAATGTGAAACCCACACATGCAACTCAGCTCGAGCTTTGCGTGATCTCCGTGACGTCCTGGGATTCTAGTGCATGTCAGGTGGCAGGCTTAGCAGCAGCTTTAGGCAGGAATCCATTTATCGCTATTGAACTAGAGCGCAGCAACAACAGCAGAAGATTACTTTGATTACTGAGCGAGCGCCAGGAGAGCCCAGTCCCCGCGCCGTAGCGGAGAGCTCTACTCGTCTACATGGCCATGGGCGATCACCTGGAAAACAAAGCTGAAATGATGAAGATGTTTCAGAGGTGGGCCTCACAGAATTACGGGGATTCAGGGAAAACTAAGACAGTCACCAGAAAAAAGTATGAAAGAATTGTCAGAATCTTAACGGGAGAAGAGCAGCCAAGCTCTGAAAACTCTAAATTCCGTTTTTGGGTAAAGGCGAAAGGATTTCAGCTGGGCTCCCGGGAAGAGGGCGCAGAGGATGAAGAGGATAGGGTGCTCCACGTTCCAACCAAAAATGTGGTAAGAATATTTGGTCACAAATGAAAATTGTATTTAAATGTTGCGTTTTATTGTGTAAGCCTGAAGTATTATTGACTTTTGACGAATATTTCGCCACGTTTTTAAACCGACATTTCACCTCTCAACCCAACTGGTTGAACAGGGTGTTTTTTCACACATATTTCACCTTCCTCCTTTGCTCTGAAAATAAAATCCAATTATACAAAAAGGGACGGGTAATATATTTGTCCTGCACACAATGGCGCTCCTAGGTGTTTTGCACGAGTTGGTCTGACAAACCGATCCCAGGTGTGGCTTGTAAAGGGCTGTGTCGTGATGGATATACGGTTGGCAGGAGAAATATTCCCTCACGCTAGAAAGAAAAAACTTCGAAGAGAAAGGCGCATCTATGCCAACAATTCTAGCCGGCGCATTTACCCGGCTTATTGGAAGAAACCAAACAAGCGTCTCAGTTTCAACGCACCTGAGCCTTGCTGCGAGATGAGTTAGATCCGGGGACATTGCAACAGACTCATCTCTTTCTCTCTTTTTCTGTACTTAGTGCTGTAATAATAGAGTTATCAAATGCCAGCCGGTTGGGCAAATTGAAATTGAGTGGTTTAGGGCGCGAGATCTATTTTTAAGAAAGAAGGGAACGCACAGCGGTCTGGACAGAGGAGAAAAAACAAGACCTTTGTTTTAGACAAGGGGAAATTGGAATTTAGAAGAAAGAATGATCTGGGGTTGATGCATTGACACAGTGTGCGGCGTTATTGAGTTTTACCAAAGACGGCCAGCCTTCATCGATTCCAGAGACCTGGCGGGTTTCCGAGAGTCCCATTTCAGGATAATAGACCGCATACACTGCCAACGTTTGTTCATCCGACAAGGCAAATCAACATCATATAGAGCTCTGAGCTGCGCATGCTTTCACCCCCCTCCCCATGATATAAAGCATCCCATGATTGAATCCTAAAGCCCTCTGAATCACTCGTCTTTTCATGCCCCTATCATAAGCAAAATTAATGAGATCCATATACCTTGTCGTTTGTTTGAGACGCTAATAAATTGATGACATTTTCTTTCATATTTCATGTTATGTATCTCGGTTCAGTCATGGGGGTTTGAATGCGTAGAAAGCAATAGGGAATAATCTATGACATTATCTAGGGAGGTTTTTAAATATACCACCTCAAAAATATAAATAAATAAGTAAAACATTTTTGCGTATGTAATAGTTTTTGTAAAAAAACAAAAAAAAAACAAACAAAACAAATAGAATAGAAAAGTGTATCGTAAAAACAACGCGTCATCATAACCGGCATGAAAGGAACTTTTTTGGGGGCTGGGGAGAAGGGTCTATAAGACTTGTACACGCATTGAGCAGAATTAAATTATTTCCCTAGAAAAACCTCCATGGCTTCTCTCCAAACATGCAGGCGATAAACGACCCTGACAATCAAAGGTGGACTTTATAGTAATAGGGTGTTTTTTTCAGTGTACATTTCATGTTATTCTGAAAATGTAATCCCATCCTGTAGTCTCTTGTGTCTCAGTCTCCTAGTAACCGTGGGTATTGGAGAAGATTATGGAGTAATCTCGTCATTAACATACGGGACAATTTAAAACCCCAAATAAAAATAATTTAGCTTTTTTTAATATATACCAAAGACTTCGCCGTTAATTGTTTTGTGCCGACTGACTGATTCCTTCCTTTATATTTTGTTTATTAATGTTGGCAAACAAAGAAATAATATTTATTTGTGCCACAAAACACGACATCACATAATACAAAATCGCAGTCACCGTTAACATTTCTCTCAAATTCTGGCAACAGTTTTCCATTCGTTTCTATGTGCTCTAGCTGTCTGTTTTTAATGATTATATGGCCACCAAGCAAAACCACGCTCGGTCTGTAAAAGGATTTGTGACAATGGTTCTTGGCCTACCGGGGTGTAAGCTAGATTAAATCGAATGGTTTCTCTGAGGCAGTGGGGATTGAAGGAAACAATCCGATCAGGCGTCACAAAGCAAGGCTTCCCCAAGCCGGATGGTCGGCCACGATTTCATCTCGACATTCAATTTAGAGATATTGGGCATGATGCAGTTTGAGGTTCAGCGTCACCCTGCTGTCTGCCGGGTTGTTTTACATTAGTGGAGTCTGTCAGTTGAATAAGTCTTTAAAAATGTCACAACTTCTTACAGATGTAGATATGTAAAAATCATTCCCACCCACCCAGCCCAGCGGTAGAAGCTTATCCGCGTGTTCATATTTCTCTGGACGACATAGAGTTCCGTAAGACGCTTCATCCCGCTAGATCGCAAATGACTGTCTAATAATCTTCGGATCATGACAATCTTTCTCATTATGTAGGATATCCAGTGATTAGGTGTCTGTCGCTTACTTGCTTTGCTGTACGGTTTAGCTCAGTGGTTCAGAACGCACCTTATCATTGCTTTGACCAAGTGAAAACAACACTTGCTGATATAGACATGTGATATATGATATGGATGAATTAATTTCTTAAAAAGTATATAACTAGAAGTAAAAGTAGAGAAACTCAAAAAGTTAAAATTAGTCGCACTGTAATTGTTCAGGTACATTTATATGTGTGTGTGTGTGTGTGTGTACGAAAAAATGTTAAATTAAGTTATATTATTAAAGGCAGAACAACTGGCATAGTGAAGTGAAACATTGAACTGTGTTACACGAGGCACATGTCATTAACCGATGCCTGATGTTTACTAAAATTAAATATTTAAAGATATGTTTAAAATAACCACATTTATTTCACTTTTTTTTGTCCAGTGGCGTCAAGAATGCATAAATAAATAAGTTATTGTCAACACCAGACTATTCCGATTAGCTGTCTGCTGTTTAATAGAAAAAGATATAAAAATGTTCAAAATCGCCCACCTTAAACGACATTTATTTCAAAATTTTCACAGTTCACAATTTTTACAGTTTACCTAGTGGTTACATGATGTCCACTGAACAACATAGTTATCAGTTCAATTAGACAGTGTGCCTGTCAAAATAAGAACAAAGATTTTTAAAAGTTTTACAGTGTTAGCTACTTTTCAAAATAATTTTGCATTATATGTCACAACTTTTAACGTATTTTCGAAAGACAGTGTTTTTAAACCAGATAAACCAAATATTAGGGCAACCATCTTTTTTTTTTTTTTTTTTAAGAAAATGTCATTTCGGAAGTAAATTTGTGGTGAAAACGTAAACGATTTTCTTCAAGCGTGCAGTGCAGCAAACTTTTAGGAAATAACCTTATTTAGAAAGCAAATGGTTAAATTATTCTTCCAGAATACGTGTTATTTCAATTTCAAAATGACATATTGCTTTGCATGCATGTACAACTGAATTTTGTGGAAATAAAGGATGAGTTGCATGTTGGATAAGTTTGGAATTGGAGCGCAGTCGGACTAATGTTGTGCGCCAGTGTACATATATCAATCTCAACCCGTTTCCCCGGATAAGCAAAATTCCCTTTTGTTCGACTACCTGGATATGACTCTGAGGTAGCCGGACTAATCTACCAGTCTCGTGAACATGTTGTCTAGGTGATATTACAATAGCATATGATTAAGAAGCGCACTTGCGGTCCGATCATTATTCGGTGTAATCGGGCCAATAAAAACCATGCTACTCCTAATGTAACTGCGATGTTGTAGTTGTTGTTGAAGTCAGTTCATTTTTTTAGTGGTACTTATCTTATTTTCAAGTTTTGTTGCTGTCATTTTTATGATATGAGAGAGAGAGAGAGAGAGATTGAGAGGTAGAGAGATTTTTAATGACAAAAATTTATCAGGATCATTATCATTATCAACCCTCTAATATTATTTAGTTGGATATGCCTTCCTGTTTGCCATATGACATACATCGTTTAGGGGCAATCTCTGAGGTAACCGTGAAAAAGGAGTTCCGTCACATTAACATAACCAGAAAAACGCCGCCATTACCCAGTCGGTTGGTTCTTCGCTCGGGACTTAATTATCTGCGACAATTATTGGTTGTCATACTGAAAACTGATATGGAACCTGTGCCGTGTGGCTTCATTTCCTGACCTATAGCGCTCTAGCAAAATATCCTGATCGGCGTGAGACATTTATAAAACTGTCACATGAGACGTTCCTCAGTACGGTAGACTTATTTCCCGTTCTACATGTCTCCAATGTTACTAATGCGAAGGACTTAGTTTCTCAGGCCCATGATCTAGTGGGACCTATGGATTGTATTGTGTAGCTGCAAATATATATGTACTATCATATTCCTCTGCCATTTACCAGGATTCCACTTCAGCACGCAATCATAGGTGCATCAATATATTGAGTAGCGAACAGCAGACAGTTTTTTTCGTTCTTTTTTTTGTCTTTTTATTTTTTAATCATCACGCGCCTGCGCACGTGCGCACAGCCGCGCTCGCTACGTAACCTCTTGGTGACTCTGTCTCCTCATCATACTAGTGACAGAATCATCCTAAATGGCTTGCCAAAACCACAAGAAACTAATAACTTTTTCAACTGAATATGATACGACAAACGTTTCTCATATCTATAACGGCCAAACTAATTGTTTTTGATAGCTACATTTTATTACGCTTTTTACTGAAGGAGAATATTTATTATCATTATACTACTTTTTACCAATGAGCCGACCATTTTTTTCAAAATTTGCTACAGGTTTGCATTGCGAAGGGGGGGGGGGGGGTGGAAGAGAGGGGGTGGCGATCTTTATGTGATGAAAACGTCACTTTTCCCCCTTGAGTAAGATCGCTTTGTTCCTGGAAACATCTCCTGTCATGACAAATTCAAGCAGCCGAGAATAAACTTTTGCTTTTACTTTCAGCACCACAAACCTTTTCCAACGAAATATAGTTATATTGATGATGAATTTTGTGGCTCTCTATGCGAAAGATGACTATGCACTACTGCCACAAGCGCAAAGGCAGAAGCTTTTAACATCACGCACCAGAGAACATGGAAACTGGCGAAAAAGCACAGACCCCAAAACCAACATAATATAAATCAAAATTTCACATTTTGTTGTCTTCAGTAACAGCAAAGATTCCGTGGTATAATTTTTTCTGGTTTTTCATTTCAGACAAGCAGTGACGTGCCAGACGGAGACAAGGAGTACCGTCGTGTGGCCGTGGTAGAAGATTTCTTTGATATCATTTATAATATTCATGTGGACATGGAAGGCAGAGGTGGAAAGCATGCGGGGCAGAAGAGAACGTACAGAGCGGTAAGGCAGCCTCTTGCAGACCCGCAGCCAGCAATTTCAAAGTTTAAGAGGTTTCTTTTTCTTGATTAAATAAGTCTACCTTTTTCATCCCCTTAGTTGGTTCAATTTGGGAAAATAATTTTAATTCAAAATGAATAATTTTTACCCAAAATGATGGAACTTTCAAATCCCCGAACCCCGTGCCTATGGGCCTGTCTCATAAATCTTCTAAGTTGTCGGCTAAAAGTTTGGAAAGGTTCAACACAGGTCCTGACGGAATCCGTGAACGGCTCCACTGAAAATGACCACATAGCTCTTGTGAATCTAAAAAAATCGAATTAAGCTGCATCACGAAGGGTGACAACATAAATTCCATCCTTTCCCCAGATTCTATTATTTTCAGAAGAAAACTGACTTTTGGTTAAAATATTCTTGATAAAAATTGCCGAAATTACAGATCACGTCACCCAACTTTCATTTATTGACAAACTTCTTCCACTGTTTTTGTCCACTCTGCGAGTCATTTAAAATTTTTCGTCTTATGTGACATTCTCGTCTTATGTGTGTTATTCTTTGTTAGAATACTCAGAAAGAATGTAGTTTTAAATCTTTCTGCGACACACTGATTTTTACTGCAGCATTTTGATTTTGCACTGAAAATTGGCGTTTAAAAACATTTAGGTATTTTGAAATAAGTGAATAAATATCATATTCTGTGCCTTATGGAAAATTGTAAGGTTATTTTTAAAAAAAGAGAATACGAACATTAAAATACAGGATACTTCAGACAGCAAGGTATTTCAGCAGAAAAAATTGAAAAACACATTGAGCCGTTATTGATAGTTGGCGTTTAAAACGTTATATCGCCAGTAAAGTATTACTTGTGTATGAAGATAGGAGAAGAAAAAACACTTCTTACACACCCCTCATAACGCTTGAACTGCAGACTAGCACTGGAATTGATTGGACGCCCGTAGGCTTGTCCAAGCTCAAGAGAACTTTCTTTGGAGAGCAATCTTTGCACGGTATTTAGATATATCGATCCTTGAAACTAGATCAGCTCCGTGACTTCCTGGCGGTAATTTGGTTCCATCAACCTCCGGCTTTCTGGCAGATTGGCCATAGGTTGAGTAGAGCTCGGAACGCCACTTCCCATAGGTTCTCATGGCGTCCCGCAACTCAAGCACGAGATCTTTCAAGCGGATTGAGCGCTTCGTTACGTCGGTCAAAATCCTTTCTAGTCACGCAATTACAATCACAGGGTTTCTAATTACCATCTTCTTATTATTACATCCGATATAACAAAGCGATGGACAGTTTTCTGTAGGTGCATTTAATAAGTACACTCCTTTGTAGATTAACCCCGGGCGTGCAATCGCTAGTTGACGAATTTCGACTCACTCTTATAATATGCAGAAAAAGATAAGGCTGCAATATCTTCATAAACACTGACGTATGGTATGAATTTGATGTTGAATATCAAATTTTGTCATAGCCCCCGTTTTGAGGGGGGGGGTGAGAGTGGGTAAAAATGCGTTCTACAAGCGAGTCCAGAGTAACAGGGGTTTTAGGACTGAAAAGTGATACCTTGGATTGTAGGAAAATACGTTAAAAACAATTAGCACTGTACTTCAACATACACTAATGTGATGGGAGTTTCACGAGTGTCCCCGAACTCAAAGTAGCAGACATGGTTGATATCCGTGTTCCATGATGAGGGTATAAGACCAATACCAAACCAATATGTTACTTTGAATAGGCACACATTTCTGATATTTTCCCCTCAAACACGCACCCGCCACCATATTAAGTCTTAGGGAAGGTGTGTTCCTTTGTGAGTCGGCATCGACGTCTTCTAACAAAGTAGACGTGTTACCTACATAGAGAAATCGATCGAAAGGTGCCCCATCTGGAAAATCGGCGATCCCGCGTAATCACTAGTAGCGGACTCCGGTTGTTAAAGCTGTTTTGACATGCGAACCAGGGCATGAAGTCGTGATTCCCACATCATCTACAGCCGTCATTTCACTTGATGACAGGCTCTTTTCTGTATTGCCTTTGTGTGCAGTGGGAAGACATGGAAGGTGCTACATGCCATATACATGTAATAATTTTTACCTGTCTTGCCGTCATCTAGATTATCAGACTGGCTGAAATTCAATGTTTTGATTGGCCAAATTATTTAAGTAAGATAAAAACTCATCTTGTTATATCTTGTTTGTAAATATTAGTAATTAGTAATATTAAAATTGTGAATATAAGACTACGTTCCATCCTGTCCCATTATTTCAAACTGTTGAGGTGTACTCGGGTCTAACTTACAATGCCGCGTGTTATGTTAATTCTTGATGTTGATATTCTAAATATGATCACGATTAATCCTCATATGTTGTTGATCTTTATAACCAACAAGCAAGCGAAAGAGAAAAACGCCGTGCATCAATTGTGGCCGATAAAAATATCTTATATAAGTTGCATGCGCGATGGATGTGTTTCGCTAGTATTTCGATCGATATGAACTTAAAGATCCCTCATTACCTTTTACATATATACAGCACGCTTTTTTTTCTTTTATTTGACAGATCGCCGAAACCTACGCATTTCTTCCCCGTGAAGCCGTAACTCATTTCTTGATGGCCTGTTCTGATTGTCAGAAGAGGATGCACCTGGGGGAAAGTAACAACAATAACAACACTCTGACGTCTGACCTGCCCGTCATCGACTTCAGTCTACCCATCACGACCACCTACTTAAATCATATGCGAGGAAAGGGCTATACCAAAGAAGACATCCTGTACAGGGATCACGAGGTTTGTGTGTGTGTGTGTGTGTGTGTGTGTGTGTGTGTGTGTGTTTTAAATCATTTTTTTGCTGTAAGTCTAACAACGTGGTGTTATATTTAAAATACCCAGATAAACTTGTGTAAAGGATATGACGGATATGGCAATATCATTTTACCTTTAATCTGGAAATGAGATAACGATTCAGTATTGATATTGATATAAATATTGATAAAAATAATTGTCAAAATTTCACTAAGAATAAATAAATAAATAAATTAATTAATTAATAGTTTAATAAACACATAGATAAATAAGTAAAAAATAATAGAAAATTAAATGACAGCAAAGGCAATAGTTTCATAAGAGACTGAACATGTTGTAACCTATGATGGAGGCATGACGGTCTGACCACTCATCGAAGGGCCTTGATCACGTGGCTGACTGACATAGAGACAATGAGAGCCTATTTCATCAAAAAAATCACATATCTTCAAAAGTCAGACGATCTGATTACACATTTTACTCTTATCACTTTTAAAAAGATCAACAGTCTTTCATTTTCTGGGCTATTTTGTTTCTTAATGCTGAAAGGAACCTTATTGATTTGTTTTTTTATTTTTTAACGTTGAAAAAAGACAACCTTAACATTAAAACTTTTGGTATGCCACATTGATATTTAATGCATTAAGATGAGCTGACTTTGGACTGATACAAGTCTTCGCCTAGGTAATCACGAATATTGCAATCAAAAACGTACCGTATAAAAGTTTTACAAATCCATTGACTGGTCGTCACTAAAAAGAGCATATATGGTTAAATATGGTGCGCCTTGTTCATATCAATGTGAATAGTTTAATTCATTTTCAACAGTTTTATTATTCAAGTTTTACGTTGTTAATAATCACATCAACCCAAAACTCACTGGGGACCGTGCCTCCCAAAATAGTGACCAAATGAAATTTTAAAAAGTCCACGCAGACTCGTGTGGATAAGGGTATTGCAGTTCATTTTTTTCACTCAAGTATAGACAACCTCTGTCGCCAGAATTAGTGAAGCAAGCGACGGTGCAATCACTGTCGCGGAAATTGTTCACGGAATACGTCTGAAACCTAAGCATGACAGCCATGTTCCATCCAGACGTCTGTCAGATTCTAAGCCTCCGCTTCACCAAATGTCTCCAATCAGTGATTTATTTGAAAAGTGTCTAGTTTCTCACAGTAATGAAACAAAATTATCTCATTACGATATGTTGAACGTACTATTTTGGGACTAAGGATTACCGTAAGAATCTCGTCTTTATGTTATCGGTGGTTGGGGGGGCCAATTTTTTATAGCATAATAAAGAGCGCTTGTGACGCGATCGCAATTTTAAATATATTCCATATGAAAGTTTTGAAAAAAAAATCGTATCTGAAACCGACCATTCCTCCTCAAACGACAGTGGTGATTGTTGCAGGTGAGACAGCAGTTGTTTACCCAAACGCAGTTGCTTCAGTTGCGTTTAACACCATCCCAACAAAACCATTTTAACAAAAGCCGATTGTTTGATTCCTATCCACGTAATCTTCAATAAGGCAGCAGAAGTCTTGTCAGAGACCGTAAATAAAAATGTAAATTATATTGCAAAACAAGAAAATATACATTTCAATGTTATACGAAATGTCATGTAAAAATTTCCCGAATATGGCAATAATAAAGTGACACTTCAACACTTCAGTTTTTATCGCCAGAATATTTTTGCTTGATTTGATTGTTTCAAAGTACAGCGGCTAGTACAGCGTTAGCTTAGGTAAAGGGATAACAACTCCTCATTTTGGCGGGAAAAGTTCCATAAAACTGATTATCCTGGGATAAGCGACAATTTTTCCATACTTCCTAATGGTTAATGCAACCGTTCCAACATTCAAAGTAAGTCGATTTTTCTTGAAGTGCAGTTTTTGTAATAACCTCTTAAGATATTATTAGGGAGGGTAGCCAATTATGAAGGTCCACGAGGTCCGATGGCTAGCACAGATTTCAGAATAGCGATAACCACCACTTTTGGTGGCAAAATGGAATTTATTTATTTATTTTGTTTACAATGTATTAATTGTGGAAATTTTCAATCTCATATGAAAGGTTGTTATCGCTTTAAAGTAAAACGTATTTGAAATATCAACCAATTATCAACTATTTAGTAACGGAAAACTAATGTCTGAGAGCACCATCGTTAATATCGTTAATAACCACGAGTGCTGCATTGCAATTGTAATCACACTCTGATAGACCTATAATATCTCTACTTTTTGTTATTCTCTAGAGGGAAATGTCGCAATTCTCCATTTATAGTGCTAAGTACTATTGGACACTTGGGGTTTTGATATGCTACTATATTCTTTAAAACTTGCACGCTGTTCTCCCTAGCGCAGTCACACGTTACGTGTCAATGATACTAGACAATAAGAGCCCATAATTCTTGAACTTCTGACTTTCTTGTTACATATTTGTCGAACCTGACCAGTAAAAACAGATGTTTGAAGAGTTACGCCCGTTCCGCATGAAGAATGAGTGCTGTGCCGCAGCATTCTTTGCATTAGCTGGTTAAGCAACGGTAAGGTTGCATGTAATGCTTAGCCTGGAGGCCAGTCACATTCTTACTTTCAAAATAGAAATGATAAATGTGAATGAATAGATAAATGAAAATACGAGAGGAACTTAATGGTAACTATGACAAACACTGAGAAACATTTCGACCCAAAATATTTTAGAATATAGTAGAGCAAAGTGAACCATCTGTTATTTATTTTCTTGCTTTGGTCTTAAAATCGCAGAGAATTAAGTCAATACCCGAGCTAAAGTATAATGAGTGTGCACAGTGTCAACCTTTGACTTTGGTGTCAACCGTACATTGAGAAAATTGGAACATGGTTGGAAGAGGAAAAGTCCATGGCCACCATGACGTGTTTAATTGCAAAAAAAATTTAGTGCTGTACCTTAGATGGCCCTTATTATTAAAATTATCATGCTGAGTTATATGCTGCGGGTTATGTTGTTTTATCAGAGGTCGGGAATTAAAATGTATATCAGTACCCGCATATAGTGACTGGGAGATACAGTTCCTTCACTGTGGAATGGCAGCGAGTGACAGGGCAGCAGCGGTGCTGTTTAGAATCAGGAGTTGACATCAGGAGTTGCCGTGGTATCTTGAAACGTTTCTTAACGGACACAGTTCCTTTCTTATCTTATATCTAATCTGCAGCAGAGGGATACTGTTTCATTAGTCAGATCATAAGAAAGAAGGAAAAAACAGGTGGTTTGTATAAAGGTCAAAGGTGCATATTTATTCCTCCCCCCTCACACCCCCCCAAAAAAAAAATTATATATATATATATATTGAAATAATAAGTCAGCATCTAAAAGCCCCTGAAAAAACACTCTGAACGGTGGTGACATTGCCAGATATCCCAGAAACAAATTACTACTGAGATCAATACGCCGTTGTTCCGCCTGCGTGGCACGTTCTGTAGAGCGTCGCCCATCAAGGGGTACCGGGGAAGATATTATGACGCCTACCATGTAATGGACGCAGTGCTCGGTGCTCCCTTGTGATGAAAATCGCGTCTTGAACACCATTGTCTTGGATTAATTTACCTGGCTCCTTTTCCGCGCTGAGTCATTTGAACGTTATGTTGTCATGGAAACTAAATTCTACTCCCCGTTTTAAGTCCTTGTCTCTCTCCATCAAGCCTCCTCTGAATGCAAGGGAGCATGCAAGAGATAAACCCCCGCGTGCATGCTAATGCACAAATGTCATTTTCACTTAGAATGAAAGGTTGTGTCTCAAAGAAATCAAAAAGCAAGGCGAACCCGTATTTCTGAGGTGGTCGCGATATGGGCACTCGTGGGAATAGACACAAACCGGTTGACGCATTCAGATGGGTGTCCACGGCACGGGGTATCGATTGCTTTCTTTCTCTGTGTCATTGTAATGTTTACGCTGTGATTAAGCATGGAGAAAATAAATGTGCGAGCGTTCTAAAAATCTATGAGTGGGAGACCGAACGAAACAGAAGAAAGGTGTATAATTTTTTTGCATTGTAAAATCGTCCTTTAATTGAATGTATAATAAATGATTTTTTTATTACGGTGATCAAAATTACGTTAAAGGGTTAATTTGTAGTCAAATGTTGTGTACTTCCCCCTCGGTCTGTGTCCTTAAAAGGTATTTATCTTATACCGGTCAACGCTTATGAATTTAAATTTCGATATATGACTTGTGTTTAATTTCTGAGTAAAGGCCTCGGGAAATGTATCTTTTTTTCAAAATCCAAAAGCCAAAATACACTCTTCCACCGTGCCCTTCACGGCAGTTATTTCTCAAATTGCAAACGGGGCAAAAAATGAAACGTTTATATACAATTGAACCGAAAACATTAAGACTTGTAATCTAGTCTCTCATTTTATGTACAGACACAAAATAGCCGAATCTTCAATCTCAGCAGAAAATTGTAATGCACAGCATTTCATATTTTGAACTTCAGCAAAAACCCACGCCTTGCCTTGCATATACATGTATAAACTGACCTAGTGAAACAAGTAGAATTACTACGGCTGTCTCAGTTGGTTACCACTGTCAACATTTCATATGCCCAAGGAAAAACACACTTAGTTGATGCACTTTCTGCTTAATTGAAATTTGTTTTCTGGCGGGTATATTACCGGTGGACACAATAGCACGCCCGTAGATTGCATTATTAATCTTACTAAAAGAAAGGGGTTCTGATAAACACGATCGCACAAATCAACGCGAAAAGAAAAAAAATGATTCTAACTGAAAGATTCTTAAAATGTGTTTACTATATGTAACAAAAAGAAAATTCTCTTCGGTCGTGATGATTTACTGTCAATGATTTCATGCCAACTTTGAAATCGAAATATTCACAAAAGTTTATTGCCAAAAGATTTCATGTACATCGCCTTCTCGGGTGAATTCTATAGAAAAGAGGCTTTTTGCCTTTTGAAAGTTTAGCTATTTAACATATAGATTA